TACATAAAAAAGTTAAAGGATAAAAATTATAATAACATTAAAGTTGAGGATCAAAAATGAAATTTACCCTTTTAAATTTGAATTGAGTTATACGGACACGGTTGCAGGTTATGAAAAGCCCTTAGCCCAAAACGACGTCGTTTTGGGCTAGGGGAATCCTTCTTTTTTTTTTAATTTGCAGTGCGTACCGGCCGAAATTTCGGTGTACCGGTCGGTACACCAAAATTTCGATACACCAAAATTTCGGTCGGTACATCAAATTTTGATCGAAACACTCGAAATTTAACCAAAATGAAAACTGACGTTGTACTATTTGGTCAAATATCAAAACCGATACGGTCGGTACGGTATTAACTTCATTGTTTAAAAGTATAAGTTAAATTTTTTTTTTTATGTAAATAAGAGGTGGTCCGTTCGTTTTACATCATTTTATACACTACTCAGATATTTTAAGTTTCAAACTCTTGAGACCTAATTTCACTTTCATGAGAGCAGTAGAAATTCCCACCATTAGTAAACCGAACTTGCAGGGCTGTCATAAGTCATAACTTTGTTTTCGGAAGCTCCGATTTTCAACTAACAACGGAAAAACCGGTCCAAAGAAAAAAAGAAACGAACAACTGAAAAATAGCCGAAATAGATAAGCCCTGAAATGGCTAATTCATCTCACTACATAATTCAGGATCCCATTCTTTTCATTACAGAAAATTCCCTCTCTTGCTAGCTAAAAATAATAATAATAATTCAAGGAGAGACCTGAGGAAGAACTTAAGATTTAAAAAAAAAAGAAAAAGAAAAAGTAAAACCTTGGATTATAATGGCTTCCTGCCCCTCTTTCTCAGTGGTCTTTCTGGCCACCGCTTCCCTCCTCCTCACTGGCCATGCCACTGCTCGCAATCTTGAAGAATCCTACGATCTGTGCCAGAATGCAGACTTCAAAGATCTCTGCAGGAACACCATACAAGGAACAAACGACCCCAATGCTGCTGTAGAAATGTCTATCAACAAGTTGATAACCAAGACAGAGAATGTCAAGAAGGTGGACGAAAGGGTGAGTAAGCAGCCAAAGATGTCGGCATGCAGTAGCAATTATGACTCCGCCATCAATAACCTAAAGAAGGCTCTGGAAAGTGTGAAGCAGAAGGACAAGCAGGCGCTCATGACCGCTCTCAGTCATGTCGTCGAAGATTATTCTACGTGCGACGATATGGTGGCGGATGGACCGCTTAAGTCCCCTCTGGGAAGTTCTAACCAGGACATGATCCAGATGGTTAGCAACATCTTGGCATTGGCTACTATGATTAAATTTTAATAATGGATCTCTGGATTGCATTTGTCTGGGGGTCGCAACATTAGAAGAGGAGGATGAGGAAGTTCGATTGGTTTAGCTGATACCTAACTACGTATATATGTATTTATTTATTTTTCCCAATAACTAGAAGCTTATTTTGTGCCATTTGGTGTTTATAATTAACATTTGGCAAGAATTTTATGGGATTTTAAAATAGAGGTCTCATTTTTAAATCTTTAATATTGTCAAAAAAGAAAATTTTCAATCCCTATGAAAAACTGATTAGGATTTTTCTTTTATGTACCATATAACAACAAAATGGGAGGCCATGTTGGCTAGTTAAATTAATCAGTTTTAATTGAATTTTTTTTTGGGCTTACCAAAAATTGGGTGGAATTATGTTTCCTTGAGAGAAAGCATGTTTAACAAGAGGAAAAGAGAAAAAGTTTGGCCATGTAGGTCACCATACTTAAACACATTCGTTTTGTTTCAAACATTTAGAGGTTTATGCTAAAAGAAAAAAAAAAAATTAGATGTATGGGGATGGATCTGAGCTAAGGAAACTTGTTATCAGCAATAATATAAGTATTGCCTCACCCAAAAACAAGAAAAATTACCGATAATTTAAATAATTTGACAATAATTTTCTTTCATTAAAAATAAAAAATCTTAAATTCAAATTATATAAAGTGCAAATGAGATGTTTCTGCATAGTATACTTTATTCGCGTCGCTGAAAGTAATAACTTTATTCCAGGTCGTGCTTTGAGTTTGGTATGCAAGAAGAACAATTAATCCTGACTCTACACAGGTAGAACATTTCTGTATGGTTTAACTTGGGTTGATACTTGATACTGAGTGGCCGCTATAGAATCATAAACAATTAAACATGAAGCTAATTGTTAGCTCTGACCTTTTCCAGAAATTGAGAACTACTACTTTTTCGTTGATCGAGCTATCTTATTAGTATTCGGAAAGTAATATGAAGTACAAGAACTTTAAATACAAATTCATAGAGAATTGTTACAACCATTACCTTCTCGCTTATATATTAAATAAATAATTAAAAAAAAAAAAAAACAACCGTTACGTTGTCCACTCAAGACTTTCAACCTATCCAGGTGTTGGGATACCCAAGCAAACCAGTTGGTCTCTTCATAAGGCGTTCCATTATCTTTAGATCTGATTGCAACGGTGAAGATCTAGAAGGTTATGCTGGTGCAGGCCTTTATTATAGGTAAGCTCTCTCCCTTTAATAGGTAGCTATATTTGATGTTTGAATTGTTTGATTTAGAAAGTTTCTCTCATTCCTTCGATTTTTTAGTGTCCTCCATTGGATTTGTTAGATGTTTAAAACCTGATGTTCAATGTCCTGCCCTTCTACTTATTTGTTTGCAGTAGAAGGACTTTTGATGTATAACCTGCAATTTTGTCCTTGTCCACCAGCCCTGTCTAGGCGTATCTGCAGATGAAAATTCAAACTTTTGAGGGAAAATGCTACTGAATTTCCCATTTCTACTGTCTTGTTATACGCTTTTAGGCCTGCTTGTGGGTTACAGCTGTCGTTATTAATCCCTCTCTTTATATGCAGTGTGCCTATGGATGAAGAAGAGAAAGTTGTTATTGATTACTCCTCTGATCCATTGATTATTGATGGGAACTTCCGATAATCAATCCTCTCTACCATTGCCCGTGCGGGAAGGACAATTGAGGAGCTCTATAGATCTCCACAAGACATTGAAGGCGTAATCAGGGAAGGGAAATTCTGTGTTGTCCGGAACAGACCCCAGATGTGATCATCCGCTTTCTTTTCATTTCCTTTTCCTTTCCATAAATCATTTTGGTGTGAATTTTTGAGAAGAATAACCGAGACCACACAAAGAAAAGAAAAAACGGAGTTACGGATGCAATGTGAATTGTACTGATATTAAATACTTTCGTTATTTAATAATTTTTATTTTACAATTTAATATAATTCAAATGGTAAAATAGTAATTAAAAAAATAAAGTTATAAAAATGATATAAAAAAATGAACCAAAAGTGAAAGTTGCCTGTCTTATAATTTTACTCGGGATAGATTCTTATCAGAAACAGCTACGTACTTATTATTCTTTCTCTGAGCAAAATGCTATTCCTGCATTTAAAAATAACAACTTGTATTATGAGATGTTTAGTTGTCCTAATTATAGCATACACATTTTACAGTAAAAAAAGTATAAGAATAGTTCCGCTATTGTCGCCAACGAGGCCTCCGATCAATTGTAAGGTCTGGATTCTAGAGGTTGTGGTTAACTTTAATTAGGCTTTTCCTGATTTCGTGTATCGTACTTAATTGGTCAAATACGTACGGTGTGCACTTGTATTGTCTTTGTATCGTGCTTAAAGAATATGAGAAGGTTTTTTCAGTTCGGATGACGAATCCCTCTTCCCTGGTTGTGGTTTGGGCATTGCCAGTTTGCCACGAATCTCAAAGGATATAGATATGATCAGAGGAAATCTTTGGTGGTTTGAGCACAGGTCATTTATTAAAAAAAAGAAACAAAAGGACTGCCTTATTTTGATACCACATATATCAGTAAGAACATGGTATGGCAATGACTTGGACAAGAAGACAGGAACCATGTCTATTTTTCCCTGCGCAATCATGCTGGACACCCCTCTGCGGTAAAACCTAAAACATCAATCCACACTTCATTCAATCGGTCGGTAAGGTGAAATGAAGCATTGTACTGTGCAATCGAATAGGCATTCTCGTCTGCTGTTATTTCCTCTGTTGAATGTTTTTTGAGGCTAGAAACCAGAGAATCCTTTTCTTCCTCAATGTTGTCATCCTTAGCAAACCCAGAAAACTTCCTGACTGCCATGCACTGACTCTTCCATTTGTCAAGCTCCAAATCCAATTCAGGATATGGCTCTGGAGGGCTGTTCTCGTGTTCAGAAGAGAGAAAATACCTTACAACATACACAGACTCACTGGAAGATTGACTGATGCTTGTTAAGACAGGAGAAGTCATGGGAAATTCAGTATTGTTAACGTTAGCTCCATGAATGTATCGATACAACCTGATGTAAAGATGAATATAGAATTAGTCGTAGAGAGGATGTGATCAGAATGAGAAAAGAAATGAAAATTAAACCTGTGAAAGCCATCCTTGGTGGATTCTTGAAAGGAAGTTCCGCGGACAAGAGCAGACATCCAGGAGGATTCTGCGTAGAGTCTGATCTCAAAATCAGATTCTGAATGGATTACAGTGTATTTTGGTGATTCAATTGCATACCCTCCACCTGCCACGGCTGCAGCCACTGTTATCAGTACTAATAAGAGGAATGAAGT